GGGGCAAGAGTCAGAGACCCACTGCAGATCTCCCTTGCAGAGGGCTTCAGATGCCGGGTTGCCCCGTCGCCATCTTGCTGCATCTCCCATCCATCCTTTTACTTTTAATCCACATGTATCACTGTGTGTGAAAATAATTTCTTGTAAATAGAATATAGTTGGGTCAATTTTTTAAATCCACTCTGCCAGTCTCTGGGATTTGATTGGTATACCACTTCCATTTAAAAATGAATGGTATGTTAGCAATTAAGTCTGCCTTCTTATTATTTGCTTTCTATTTGTTCCCTATGGTTTTCAATTCTCTGTTATTTATATTACTTGAATATATTTTTGTGTATACTCTCTTTTGCAGAGTTATTTTAATGGTTGTTTTGAGCACTACAATATATTTATGTGATTTACCATAGTCTACTAACATTCCATCACATTGAGTGAAGTGACTTCTATTTAGGCCATTTTATCTTCCTCATTTTTAATATCATTATCTTGAGCATCAAATGACTTTATAATTTTTGTTTCAATCATCAAATATTATTTTTAAAACTCATAGCTATTGATGTAAAGAATAGTCTACTGTCTGGATTCATATTTCTGCCCTTTCCACTGTTCCTTCATCCTTCCTAATGCTCCAAGATTGTTTTCTCTTTGTCAGTAATTTATTTTCGTTATTATTTTAAAGTAGGTCTGCCAATGACAACTTCTTTTAGTTTTCCTTCGGTTTAAAACGGTTTTATTTCTCTTGATTCCTGTAGGATAGTTTTGCTAGATACGGAATTTGTGGCTGACAGTTCTTTTCTTTCAGTGTTTAAAAATGTGCCACTTTTTTCTGCTCTTCATGGATTTAGAGATGAAATGAACTGTCATTCAAATCTGTCTTCTGTATAATTATGATGTGTCTTCATGTAGATTTCATTGGATTTATCTTCGTTGGCATTCACTCAGTTTCTTAAACCTATAGGTAGTTATCTGTTGCCAAATTTGGGGATTTTTCAGTCATTATTTCTTCCAATGCTCTCTTAGCCCCACTCTGTTTCTCCTTTCCTTCTGGAACTCTGATGATAGAATGTTGGATATTTTACCCTGCAGTACTATTCATTTTTTGTTCTTGAGAACTGTTGATTTTTCATTTGTTTTCAGTCTATTTTTCCTCTGTGGTTCAAATAGTCAAATTCTGTTCATATATCCTCAAGTTCACTAACTGTCCACTGACATCTCTACTCTACTATTGAACCCAAGAAGTGAGTTTTTATTTCTGTTTTTATACTTTTTAGTCTATAATTTTTAGTTGTTTTTAAAAAATGTTTTCTCTTCATTGGCTGAGATTTTCTCATTTAAGAAAATTTAAGTTTTGTCATTTAAGAGAATTTATAATTATGGTAACTGCTTTAAAATTCTTGTCAGATAATTTTAACTCCTGATTCCCCTCAGTGTTGATCTAGTCAATTAACTCTTCTCATTCAAGTTTAGCATAATGGTGATTTTTTGATAGTATCTGTTAGGAGGTCCTGGGTTCAATTTAAATCTTTTATTTTCACAGGCAGTCACCTTGCTTAGGTTTATCACACAACCCTGGCTGGCTTCTGTGGGCTTTTTATTCCTCAAAGTAGTCTTTACAGTATTACCTTGGTCTGCTTGGTTAACCTGGTACCACTGTGCCCCATCAGTGCTGCCTGAAGTAGTGGAGAAGTTTTCCCCACAATGGCAAGCTGGATGTTTCTTGGTGGGGGAAGGAATACTCAAGCCTGTAGAGATAAAGAAGTTTTCTTGCTGGGCCACTTGTTGTGTCTAGGTACCTCTTACTGGCTCTTCCCTTTAATCTGTTGTCACTTGGCTGCAGAGAGGAGTCTCAGGCTTGCAGGAAAGGAGAGTCCTTGACCTAGTGCTTATTGTAGGAGGAGCCCCCAATTTATTCTTCTTTCTGGTGATGTCAGGCTTGCCTGAGGTTTTCAGAGGAACTCCTATTAGATACAAGGAAGGAATATGCTTACCTGAAAACTTTCTGATGTTAGGTTGGAACAGGGGAAAGACAGGTTTGAATCACCTTCTGCCGCTGGATGTAGAAATACAAGATGCCTTGAAACTGTGTTATTTCACCAGTATTGGGATTCCAAACCAGTTTACCTTCTTTTTACCTTTCAAAATCCTCCTTTGGTTGTCTCTTATGTCATTTCCAGGGCTTATAGTTTTGTTTAGCAGAGAAGAGCAGGAAGAAAGGAAGAAATTGACCTATGACATCTTGTCTATATCAGAAGTCTCAAATTTTCAAATGCATTAAAAGTTTGCAGCCAGGCTCGGTGGCTCAGCCTGTAATCCTGCGCCTTTGGGAGGCTGAGGTGAGTGGATTGCCTGAGCCTGCGGGTTCAAGACCCGCCTGGGCAGGCGAGACCTCATCTCTACAATGAAAATTAAAAAAATTAGCCAGGCATGGTAGCGTGCACCTGTAGTTCTGGCTACTTGGAAGGCGAGGCGGAAGGATCGCCAGAGCCCAGCAGGTCGTGGCTGCGGTGGCCGGAGCGGCCACCGCACTCCAGTCTGGGTGACAGTGAGACTCCAACTCAAAAAAAAAAAAGTTTGCAATATTTCCTATAACTATTACATTACCTGTGAGGTGCCACCAGCTAAACGTGGGGCATAGAACAAATCAACATTGGTGAAGGGGATTAGTAATGTTTGTGGTCAGAAGGTATCAAAGTGCTTCAGATCAGTTGCAAGCCCCTTCCTAAACTAGAGAGCAGCCCTACAGGACCATACACCAAGCCTCTTCCAGAATGCATGTTGGGTCACCATAAACCACATGCTCTCTGGACCATCTTGTGGGGTGATAACCAGAGTGTGGGATCTGAAAACACACAAATGAATGCAGAACACACATTTCTAAGCTTATTTGTAGACTAATATACAGACTCTTAGGTAAAAATACAAGTTTAACCAATTACTTGGTATTATAAAAATAAGGAAAAATAGCAAAAAAAAAACTTCATTCGTAAAAAAGGAAGAAAATATTCTTACCTGTTCTGAGGACTTTTCACCAAATAATGTCTTGCTGTGAAAGGAAAGATAAATGAAGATAGTAAATAAATGCTACTTTAGATATATATGCTCCAGGAATTACCAGGAAATTCAGGGACCCAGGTGTTGTTCAGCTATTGGTGCTATACCAGCCAACTCACAGGGCTTGCATACTTTTCTTTGGGGAAGTACAGTAGAGCCATCACATGGACACCACAGTGACTTGATATTGTTCCAGCCCTACATCTGACCAGGCATGAAGTTCTACACTCCAGTCTTCCTAGTTACATAACCCCAAATTTTCATTTTTGGCCAAGACAAATTGAGTTGGATACTAACCTGAAGGATCCTGGAGTAATAGTCACCCAACTTTTGAGCTCTGCCTGAGTCATAAGAGAGCACTCTTGGAACCAGATGGGACAACAAGTCTCTACTCAGAAGCTCCTCAGTATAAAATGAGTTTACATTCTCTGATTAATACTCTTCCAAGGCTAAAAAGGGGCCTTTGGAAAGACAGTCTTGAAGCAAAACATTCTTCTATGATAGGTCTGTAGAGAAAAATAGGAATGCCTAGATACTGAATCCAACAAATATCCAATCTAAAGCTTGGAATGAATTTACTTTAAATAGAAATAAAGTTGAAACAGTCAGGTGGACCCCGAGGTTGTATGGTAGATTGTTACATCAAGGGACCCCATGAATCATACCTCTTTGTATCCTGCACACCCATGTATAGCCCCTTCCTACACTGACTCTGAATTTGGTCACATAACTTGCTTTGTTCAAGGGAACATTAGCCAATGCGCCATAAGCAGACACATAAAAGGCATTTGTGCTCTTGGATTTGCTCTCTCTCTCTAATAAGAGGAACTCTTCTGCTACCACATGAGGAAGCCTGATGAGCCTATTGGAAGATGAGACTACGTGCAGCAGACAACAGTCATCCCAGTTGAGGCCCTAAAGCAATCAGGTCCCAGTTGATCCACCAGCCGACTGCAGCTGCATGAACAACTCCAGCTGAGACCACCAAAGGAATTGCTCCATGAAGCCCAACCCAATTGCTGACCTAAAGAATTGTGAGCAAATAAAATATTTGTTGGGAGCTATTATATTTGCAGTAATCTTTCATGAAGGTAGGCAATGCAGCCACGAAGGTTCTAGAGCTGGATGTGAGAATCTAAGTTTGAGAAGGGGCTGGTCTAGTCCCCATTAATACCTAAACTCTTTCAGCATTCCATTTACTGAGCACCTACTGTATGCTAGATAATACAGATTCAACAACAATAACAACAACCAGAGTTAGTATTTATTGAACACTTCGTATATTTTAAGCTTTGCACATCCCTGGGTACTCTTCAGAAGAGCAGTTTAAGGGAACCATTTTCTAATTCCTCATCTTAAATGGTATTCTTTCCTAAGAATTCATTGTCTTGTCATTTGACTGAAGTTCCTTTCCCTCTCTCCTTTCAAGATCACCTTTTTCTATTCATAAAATCAAAGCACACCCCACACTCTAGATTTATACTCTGGAGACCTGTTCTTCAGGGAAATGTCAGTGAGGCACCAAACAATAATTGATATGTGTGTTAAGAAAGCAGATTGGCTGATGTCTGGACAACTAAACCTTCCACAAGGGAGGCCTTTTCTAATATTTTGCTTTCCATAAGGATTGAATAAGGATTGAACCCAGTTATCAGCTGGTAGAGCATTACAAATCATTTTTAGTGATAGATCACTATGTGATTTTGACATATAACTGGGGAGCCATTTAAAATATTGAATGATATAAGAAAATGTCATCCGTTCTTGCCTTTCTAAATATCAACCAGGAATTTCAGAGCTAACATCAATTTTAAAAAATAAGACTAGAATTCAGGGGAATTTTATCTCTAAGTAAATTTGTATAAGGATATATGAAGTAAATATAAAAATCTATTTCAATAAAAATGCATTTCCAATAGAATTTGGTTTTTATGACTATTAATTATTTATCTTAAATTGTAATATATTTATGTCATTTTAATTTTATACAAATTTTCCAAACCTTATTAATGGCATAAAATTAACAGCTTACTCTAAAAAAGAACTTCAACACTTAAAGAACATATGGAATAAGAAAATAAAAAAAACTTGTTAATTTAAATTTGTATACAAATGTTACCTTACAGATGAGTGTAATAGGGTGACCAATAAAAGGCTATAAATCTTAGTGATCTATCACAGAAACAAAGAACTGAGTACCACATATTCTCACTCATAAGCGGACCCTGAACATTTACCATAATACTATAAAAAAGGGATTAGCTGTAGCCTGAAATTGCTGGGGAGAGGGAGCAAAGTGGAGACCAAAGGGAGACTCAAACTTTACCTGTGCAATGACTACTTGTATACCTAATCCTGAATTTTACCCCACATTTTAAAAATAAGAAAAATTAATTAAAAATAAAAAAACAAAAGACTTTCAAACCAAAAAATGTATGAGTATTAAAGTAGGATAAAATTCTGTGGGAAAGTGGATTGAAGATAAAAGTTCAAGGATAAAAAGAGAACATATAAAATTTCTAACAGTTAATGCTTTTTCAAGAGGGTCTTTTTTTTTTCTCATGAAGTCTTAAAGTAAATGAAGATGGTAATTAGATTTAAGACATTTAGATGTAAAAGAAATGTAACCACTTCATTTTTAAGAAGTCAATACTTGTAATACTCTGGAAATTACATCCTTGCAACATTTTATATTTGTAATGAAAAACTTTAGATGTCAACAAAAAACTAAAAGTGCATAGTTTTAAAAATTATTTTAGAAATTATGCAAGCAAAAATGTTTGCAAGCCACAACTTTGTACTTTAATTTAATCTTCATAATAACCTTGTCATTACTTCTGTTTTACAGTGGAGGACATTGAAACAGAGAGGTTAACAAACTTTCCCTAGGTCACACAGCTGGTGTTATTTTATGGGTTGAACTATATCCCCTCCAAAATTCATATATCCAACGCCTAATCCACAGTACCTCGGAATTTGGAGATAGGGTCTAAAAAGGCAATTACATTAAAATGAAGCTATTAGGGTGGACCCTAAACCAACATAACTGGTGTCCTATAAGAAGAGATTAGGACACAACATTCACAAAGGGAAGACAACATGAAAACACAAGGAGAAGGTGGCCATCTGCAAGCGAAGCCTCAGGAGAAATCAGCCCCGCCAATACCTTGATCTCAGGCTTCTGGCCTCCAGAACTGTGAGAAAATAAATTTCTGCTGTTAAAGCCACCCAGTCTGTGGTACTTTGCAATGGAGCTCGAGGATACCTATATACCTGGGAAGTGGCAAATGTGGGCAGTCTGACTCCAGAGTCCTCTTGTAACTACTACAGTCATCTTTTGATATCTTTGAGGATTCATTCCAGAACTCCTTTGGGATGCCAAAATCCAAAGAAGTTCAAGTCTTCAACATAAAATATCATAGTATTTGCATATAATCTATGCACATCCCCTTGCATACTCCAAACCATCTCTAGATTACTTACAATACATAATACAATGTAAATGCTATGTAAATAGTTGTTATCCTGCATTTATTTTATTTGTATCATTTGTTATTGTTGTTATTTTTTATTTAAAAAAATTATTTTCCAGCTACAGTTAGTTGAATCTGCAAACACAGAAATTGCAGATATGGAGGATCGACTATACTCTGCACCATTCTCAGAGACACTAAGCTACTGGTGTCAGGGCTCCTACAGATGGAAAAATTGAGTCTCAGAGGCATATGGCCAGCCCACTACTGTGCCACAGCTAGAGCTGGGTAGAGTTGGGACTGCAATCCAAGAGAATCCCATGAGCTGACCTGTGTTTTAGAAAGTCTAGTCTAGGGTCAGCACAGTGAGCAGCTTGAGGGTCAGGAACTAAGGGGCAGGAGAGCAGCTGGGGAACTTCCCCACGGAAGCTGACTAAGAAGGGCCAGGAGCCCAGCGAGAATCGGCAGTGTCAGGGTACAGAAGATATACCTCTGCCAGCACTTGGAGATTGTCAATTCTGAAGTCTTAGCCAGGGGGGTGCAGGGTCGATGGTCCAATTAATAAAGAAGGATCACCTATAGGACTAAAAGTTACTTTTGACACCAAAGGGGAGGCTTACAGGTATCTGAGAAACAGACTTCACTCAGAGTCACCTTTCAATATGCAAAGCATAATCAGTGCTGATTACATAACTGTTCTAATCTAACTTAGGTTGGACTCCCCAGAAGCAGAAATCGTAAAGCAAGCATTCAAGTGCCAAGAGTTTATGTGGGAGATGATTCTAGGAAACCCACTGTGGGTGGGAGAGCCTGGGGAGAGAAGCAGCCAATAAAGGGTGCAAAATGGAGCCAGTCCTCACTGCGGGCCATGGTCTGCAACCCAGCACTTGATCTGGAGACTTTGGCTCCACACAAAGCAGCCATCTGCAGAGATGAAAATTCAGGCGCAGTTCTTTTAAATGGTGGTCTTATGATATTTGGAAGTTTGAAGGCTCTGAAAGGAAGACCTGTTTTTCCCACTTCTCTTGATAAGAAGCAGCAGTCCCTGGGCCACTCCCTGCCATCCTCTACCCTTTCTCCTCCTCAGCTGGGACCACACTGCTCACAGGCTCATCCCATGGCCAAATCTCCCTGCTGGCATGTACAGCCTGAAGGCTTTGTCTTCTTCATCTGGACCTGTCCCTATCACCACTGCCACCCGAAGTGGGGTGATTTGGGGTAGGGGCATCTGTGCCCTCCATTCTTTCAAGGCCTTTAACAGGGTGGGGACATCCGAGGCATAGACAACCCTCTCTCCATCCTACCTTCTACTGTCTTTCATCCTCTTCTGACCTCCAGGACATGCACAGACCCTGGGATAGGACCCAGGGATGTTTCTTCTCTATTCACCGAGTGCTCTTGGCAAGAACTGTGGCAGCCCCGGCACCACACAGGGTTTCCGTGCTTGGAACATGGTATGCGCCCAGGAGCACTTGCAGAGGGAAGGATCATAGTGCTCTCCCCACTACCTGCAGCCCAA